ACTATGGAAGTAGATTGCCTAACCATCCTTCCGAGGGTTGGCTGGTGGGTTTGAACCTCCACCCTTCTGGTTAGTGGTTAAATGCCTCAGATGCTACACCACCAGAGCTCCTGATATATTTATCCTAAAATGGAATAAGCATAATTGTAAGTGATTTTGGCCTGCTTCAACCCTTGGACAGCTTCAATTTGAGATTCATTTCTTTCTTAAAGGTTAATGCCTGGGACATTTGACTGCTAACCAGAAGGTTGGTGTTTCAAACCCACCAGCCACTCTGTTGAAAGAAGATGGGGCAATCTACCTTCATAAAGATTTACTGCCTTGGAAACCCCATGAGGTTTGCTATGAGTTGGAATTGACTCGATGGCAGTGGGTTTTTTTTACCCCTCTGGGTTTTTGTAGAGTAATGAATGACAGTTAATTATAATGGGTATCTCAACCACCACACCCATGTGTTTAGTAGGTCTTCACTTCAGAGCAGTCATTATCTTTAAGTCAGTGGTTTTTAACTCTGATTGTATATCAGAATACTTGGGGCTATTTTTTAAATTACCAAGGCCAAGGCCTCACCCTTCTGATTTGATTAACTCTGACTCTCTGGTTTGGGCCTGGGCATTGGCATTTTTGAAAGTTTCTCTGGTGATTGTGGTATGCAGCTGAAGTTGAGAACTCTTGTTTTTTAAAGTATTTCTTTTTGAAAAATGATTTCTGAACTTTCCCAAGCCAACTATCATCTGGTGCTTGTTAGAAAAGCATGCATTCCTGGGCTCCAGCTCAAACTTCCTAAATCTCAGCTTTCCAGGGGAGAAGTCTGATCATACACATATAACAGTGTCAGGAGATTGTTACCCAGAAAATTTAGGAAATAGAGATATTGTGATGCCTGCTTGTAGGAGACCAAGCACTCAAATACTTGAAAGATTGAAGCCACCTTTGTTTTTACTTATCAGGATTGGGCCTGATTTTTTGTGAGTTTAGGAGAAAGTCTGAATAATTGCTATAGTGCTCATTCACTGCTTTTTCCATTTGCTGCTTTAGAACTGTATTGTGGAAAATCAGTTTGTGCCCCAGTCCAGAGAAGAAGGAGGAGAATAATGAAAAGGAGAGAGGTGTCAGGGTACTGGATACAGATAAGAATAAAAGAAATGCTTGCTCTCTGTTACCAATTCCTGCTTTAGTAAGATGGAAGCAATGTTTTGTTTTAAAAATTAACTTTGGTTTTCTTTATTAAGGATAGCCTGTCTGATAGCCATAAGTTGTTTCACAGCATAGGAAAATAGTTGGTGTCTGCTATTGTGATGAAACTTTTTACTTTTTCCTTGCCAATTATGTGTTTTTAGAGTAAAATATCTGAGTACACTCTAGACTAAATATGACACAAAGTGTAAAAATTATTAATATTTTTAGGATTACCATGAGCAGTTTTGTTGGAAAGTGATGATATAGAATATTTCTTAGTAATATTTAATCTTGCCAGGGAATGTGCGTTTGATTCTTTGTGTTATGAGGCTGGTGTGCAGGCACACTTTTAGTGCTTGAACCTTGCAAAATGTCTCACACTGTCATCTCCATGCAGCATTTCTGTTTTACACTCCAACACTTGTGCAACAATTCTTCTCAAATCAATACAACTTTTTCTTTTTACAGTGGGAGAAGAAACCTTCTCTACCTTCCTCCCCTCAAGAAAAACCAACTGTTTTTCCAGGTGTTATTAGAGAAAGTAAAGAATTTGAGAAAGCCATGATTCTTAAACCAGAATAGAGTTTTCCTTTTGTCTTAACTAGATGGCATCGTTAAGTTAATTAATGTGTCAGATAAGTATTTTTCTAAAAAAATACATATAATAGTTTCCTGGTGGCATAGTGCCTAAGGCATTTGACTGCTAACCAGAAGGCTGGCAGTTCAAACCCACCAGCCACTCCTTGGAAGGAAGACTGGGCAATCTACTTCCATAGAGATGCTGCCTTGGAAACCCAAGGAGGGGTCGCTGAGTCGGAATCAAATTGAGGGCAATGAGTTTAGTTTTTGAGTTTATATGTTTATTTAGATGTTGTGTGCCAGTTGAGCACTTGGAAATGCTTTGGGCTCTATTTAATAGTCATATCCAAAGTAAGAAGTCATTTGTGGTTCTCAACTATGGAAAACTGATATGAATCACTGTAGAATTCTGAGGAATAGATCTGAGTGTGCCCTAATGTCTTAATTTTTAAGTTTGATTTTATTTAAGTTCCTTAAGTGATTATATTCAGATGATAGCCACTGGTTCATTATATATTTTTAAGAGAGTAAACACAAAAGCTAAATAAATGTAATAAAAGTTCAATTGGAGCTAAAATTACTCTGTAAGGTAGTACAAGCTAAAATTACTCTGTAAGGCCAAAACAAGGCCTGGAGCTGATTGTGGAACAGACCATCAGCTGCTTATATGCAAGTTCTGAAGTTGAAGACAATTAAACCAAGTTCACAAGAGCCAAAATATGACCTTGATAATATCCCTTCTTAAGTTAGAGACCATTTAAAGAATAGATTTGATGCATTGAATATCAATTACCAGAAACCAAATTAATTGTGGGTTGACTTCAAGAACATCATCCATGAAGAAAGCAAGAGGTCATTAAAAAGACAGGAAAGGAGGCAAAGCCCAAAATGGATTTCAGAGGAGACTCTGAAACTTACCCTTGAGTGGAGAGTAGCTAAAGCAAATGGAAGAAATGACATGCTGAAAGAGCTGAACAGAAGATTTCAAAGAGCAGCTCAAGCAGACAAAGCCAATTAATATAATGAAGTGTGCAAAGACTTGGAGTGAGAAAACCAAAAGGGAAAAAAAATGCTCGCCATTTCTTGAGCTGAAAGAACTGAAGAGAAAAAATTAAGCCTAGAGTTGCAATCTTGAAATATTCTATGAGCAATATATTGAATGATGCAGGAAACATCAAAAGAAGATGGAAGGAGTACAGAGAGTCACTGTACTAAAAAGAATTGGTCGATGTTCATCCATTTCAGGAGGTGGCATATGATCAACAACCAGTGGTACTAAAAGAACAAGTTGAAGCTGCACTGAAGGAATTGGCAAAGAACAATGCTTCAGGAATTGACAGAATACCCATTGAGAGGTTTCAACAAATGGATGCTGCACTGGAGGCACTCACTCGGCTATCCCAAGAGATTTGGAAAACAACTACCTGGTCAACTGACTAGAAGAGACCCATATTTGTACCCATTCCAAAGAAAGGTGATCCCACAGAATATAGAAATTACTGAACAATATCATTAATATCACATGCAAGTAAAATCTTACTGAAGATAATTAAAAAACAGTTGCAGCAGTATATTGACAGAGAGCTTCCAGAAATGCAAGCTGGATTTAAAGAGGATGTGAAACAAGGGATATTATTGCTGATATCAGATGGATCTTAGCAGAAAGCAAAAAAATACCAAAAAGATGTTTGTTTATGTTTTATTGACTATGCAAAAGCATTTGATGGTGTGGGTCATAACAAATTATGGGTAACACTGAGAAGAATGGGAATTCCAGAACACTTAATTGTATTCATGAGGAACCTATACGTAGATCAGGAGGCTGTCCTTCGAAGACAAGGGCATAGTACATGGTTCAGAATCAAGAAGGGAGTGCATCAAGGTTGTATAGTTTCACCATACTTATTCAACTTGTATGCTGAGCAAATAATCTGAGAAGCTGGACTATATGAAGAAGAATGTGGCATCAGGATTGTGGGAAGATTGATTAACAACCTGCAATAGCAGATGACACAACTTTGCTTGCTGAAAGTGAGGATGACTTGAAGCACTTAGTGATGAAGATTAAAGACTACAGACTGCAGTATGGATTACATCTTAATATAAAGAAAACAAAAATCCTCACAACTGGTCCAATAAACAGCTTCATGATAAATGGAAAAAAGATCAAACTTGTCAGGGACTTCATATTACTTGGTTCTACAATCAATGTCAGTGGAAGCAGCAGTCAATACATCATTTGACATATTGTGTTGGGCAAATCTGCTGCAGAAGACCTCTTTGACATGATGAAGAGCAAAAATATCTTCTTGAAGACTAAGGTGCGCCTAACTCAAGCAATGGTATTTTCAGTCGGCTCATATGCATGTGAGAGCTGGACAATGAATAAGGAAAGCCAAAGAAGAGTTGATGCTTTTGAGTTGTTGTGTTGGAGATAAATGCTAAGAGTACCATGGTCTGCTAAGAGGACTAACAGATCTGTCCAAAAAAGTGCAGACAGAATGCTCCTTGAAAGCGAGAATGGCCAGGCTTCATCTCACCTACTTTGGTCATGTCAGAAAGGACCATTCCCTGACAAATGCTTGGTAAAGTGGAGGGTCAGTGAAGAAGGAGAAGGTCCCCAATGAGATGGATTGACACGGTGGCTACAACGATGGACTTAGGTGTAACAAGGATTGTGAGGCTGGCACAGGACCGGGCAGTGTTTTGTTCTGCTGTGCATAGGGTTGCTCTGAATCAGAGCCCACTTGATGGCAACTAACAACAAGGTAGGTTCTTAAAAGAATGTAAATGCAATGCTGAGTTGTTGATGAAGGCAAACATGGGTGTGGGGACGGATAGATGGGTGAACAAGCTAAACAATTGTGTGTGTCTAGATGGAGAGTGTATCCAGGATCATGTACGGGGTTGGCGGACGGTGGGCCTCTCGGGGAGTGTGGAGGGATGGACACTGGGAGGAGGTGGCTGTGGGGGGGAAGTGGGAGGGGAGCTGCTGCATTGTAAATTTTGGTCGATGACGTGAGACAAAGTGTATGTGAACTGCTGTATGAAGAGTGGGTTTGCTCTGTAAATCTTCACCCAAATCCTAATAAAAAAAAAAAAAAAAAAGAATGGTGACAATTAAGATATTACACATACAGTGGTGAAAAATAAAAGACTGTTTGGAAAGTAGCTCGTGGCAGTCATGGTAGTGGCATATGTGTTTAAATACATGTTATACTTTTTTTTTTTCTTTTTTAAAGTTACACAGCAAACTTTTGGAGACGGAGCGCCAATTAGGGGAAGCTCATGGTAGGCTGAAGGAGCAGAGACAGCTTTCAAGTGAAAAACTCATGGATAAAGAACAACAAGTGGCTGATCTACAACTCAAACTTTCTCGTTTAGAAGAACAGGTAAAGTAGCATTTCAAATGTGTTTATATTAGCAAATTTATTGATAGACAAGACATTTTAAATATTGTTAAGGTTCATCAGTCTTTTCAAGAGGTTAATTGAACATTTATTTTTTTAACTTTAAATTGCAACATTTTTTTGTCCCCAATAAAAACATTCTACTTAATAATCTCATTAAGTCATTTTTTTATGATTATGTTTTCTAAAGTTCTCAAATACAAATGTACAAAGAAGAACATCCTTTCACCTTCAGACAAGAAAAATTCTGAGGGTGAATCTACTTAGGAAGGATCACTCATTAATGAAACAGTAAACATGAGCAATTGGTGAAAATCACTGATGTCATGTAGGTGGTACAGGCTTTTGAGTTTTCATTTAAGGGTTTTCATTTTTGTAAATAAAATGCTATCTTAATTAAAATTGAGATTACAAAAAATAGTACCTCAAATATGGTTAAAGTCAGACTTATTGCCTTTTGTGTTTTATTAGATTTAACTCACATTTAGAACTAAAATCTCTTCAGCAATAGATGTTCTTTTAGATCCAAAGTCTTAGATGTGGTAGAGAGTCCTATCCTTTTTCAATAAATTATAATTAAGATTGTTTTGGAAAAAAAAAAAAAAATACTAATATCGTGGTTTAGATTATTGATAAAAATAATTTTTATGTAGGTAATTCCTTGAGAATATTAGTATACAGAAAACAATAGTAAAGTAAATGTCATCCTGGAAAAAAGTTCTCAGAATGGGGGTCTATTTTTAGAGAATAGTTTCTTCATCATGGGATTTCGATTCTAATAGTATTGAGATACTGCTTTTCAAAGTTGGTCTTCTGTATTGGCTCAATTTAGTTTTCTGTACAGACTTGAGAATTGTGGGATGTAAAATAATGCTAGATATTTGTATATGATAGCATTGTGCCTTTAAGTTGTCCACGTAAGGTCTCCATTTTTTTAAGTTGAAGGAAAAAGTAACAAGTTCCACAGAATTGCAACATCAGTTAGATAAAACAAAGCAACAACATCAAGAACAACAAGCTCTTCAACAAAGCACTACAGCAAAACTTCGAGAAGCTCAGGTAAAGATTAGTTGAATTATTAGCCTTTCTAACAAAAATGAAACTATTTAATAGGAACAGTTTGTGTAGAGATGGTAGTAGGAAAATCTCATTGGAAAGAGTTCAAGAGAAAACGGGAAAACACAAAGTTGGGCAGAGTGAATACAGATAATTGCATATAGGATTTTACTATAAAGAATTGGGTATTAATGCTAGGATGGAGAATTTGGCATAGATGTTCAGCTAAGGTCACTTTCTTTTACTGGACTCTAAAATTAAATTTATCCATCCAGCCACAGGAAAAATTGGAAAATGACATCCTTTCCCCCTTCCTGTAGGCAAGTTCTCTCTCACACGGAAGGGAGAACCAAAGACTAAGTGGAACATGCCTAATTCCTTATTCCAAACTTTCCATCCAATTAACTTTTCATTCCCTGGGCAGGAGTAAGAAAAAGATGGGAGAGAGACTACTGAAAATTACTCATTGTAGAAACATGAGAAGTCCTAAAAACATGAAAGAGATAAAATGAGTATAGTTTTAGATGTGTATATGTATATAAAATTATTATGGTAGCATAGAGGACAGTTATGTAGCCCAGACAGAATGTGGGAAAGAGCAGTCATGGAAAAGTACTTAGAAGTGACAATCTGAGTTACAAAGGATGGTAGCTGTTTTGGGGTGCAAAAGATGGTGATAGGTGTATATACTCCATGTAGAAGTTATAAGGACACAGTCAGTGAGGTTAGTACTAAACTGTTAGGATTTGGTGGAACTTAAAGTGTAACTTACAGCTAAAAGAATAATTGAGGCCTCTTTAACATTGAAAAGCAGAAATGGGGTCATGAAAGAGCTAGATGGTCAGGAAGTTGTGGTCAGAGTAGATTAGTTGAAATTTTTCAGTAGGAACAGTTTCAGGTGACTTGTTACAAGGTCCTATAAGCAAATGATTAAAATGTACAATGAGTGGAGTTCCAGTAATTAAGATAATGTGGATGATGACACTATGCTTTTAATTTTGAATGTATTTTGAATCTTCCAGGAAATTGACAGAAATTCAGATTGAGAGAAAGATTAAATCAGGTCTCAAGTCCTCAGTAAAAGAGATAGGAACTTAGATAGATGATAGCAATAAAAAGTAGAGGATAGAGTGAGTGTCATACTTCCCAAAGCAGCAAGACACTTTTACATGAGGGGGAGAGTAATGGCAGTGAACAATCAGAAAAAGGTTGATCTTTCCTGCTAGCCCAGAGCAATGATGTTTCTGACTAGAGAGTGTTGAGAGGGAGGCAGCATCTATATAAGGAAAACTAGATTTCAATTAAGACTTAGAAAAACTTTAGGCCTGGAACCGTGTTCCCGGAAGATTAGTGGAATATGGAGAGAGGGGTCATTAGTAGCAGGAACAGAGGATGAGAGCAGAGAGCTTAGATTGCTTTTCATTGAAGCTTAGAGGGATGAGAAGTACGCTTGGAAGTGACCTCAAATATTTCAATATTGTTACAAATCATTTAGGGCCCCAGGTTTTTCTGACTTTTTCTCAACAAGGTGATGAGGGCTGCTATAAGGTTTACAGTGGGGTTGATTAATGCCTTGTTCTGGGTAGAGGCTCTTTTAAAATGTTTAGGGTAGAGGCAAAGGCTGTGGAGTCAGATAGCTCCAAAAAGTTTATGGGCATTTTTATAGATGTGGGCTATTGCATTGTGCTCTATGTAATATTAAGGCCATTGATAAAGTAAAAGAGGAGGGTAGTGAAGTAGGTGCATTAAAATACTATCATTCATTTCTCTGTTCATTCCACAAATATTTGAGAGGAGAATATATATGTCAGGTATCATGGATACATCAGTGAGTAAGACAGAAATCCTCATTTCATGGAGTATACTTTCTAGTGGAGATGGGAGGCAGAGGGAGACAGATAAATAAGAAAAGTAAGTAAATAAATCATTTAGTGTGCTAGATGATAATAGTGTGCTATTGGAAGAAGAAAATATAAAGATAAGGGTATTTGGAAAGGTTGCAATTTTAAATGTCACGGTAGGCCTGATTGAGAAGGTGACGTTTAAAAGAACATTGGAAGGAGAGGAATGAGCCATGTAATTAATTGGGGGTAGACATTCCAGGCATAAGGGACAATTACTGCAAAGGCTCCAAGGTTGGGAGTTTGCTTGTGCCTGGCATGATTATGGAATAGTGGAGAGTCCTCTGTGTCTGAAGTGAATTAAATTAGGAAAGTAGTAGAAGGTGAGGTCAAAGTGTTAGGGAAAAAAAATGTGGTTAATTGAAGGTTTTTTTTTTGGTTGTTAAATTTTAGTTTGTTACCAACAATGTAGATTTATATTATTTATAATGCTTTCTAATGGTGTAATTGAATTTGCCATGTTAAAATGTAATAGTTAGTTTAAAAATATAATTTAGAGTTTGACTCATAAAATTTATTATCAATCACTACAAGTTTGAGGAATAACTTTTTAAGATTGCAATCTGTAAGGTAGTCCTTTTCATTCTTTTTAGAATGATTTGGAACAAGTGCTACGTCAAATTGGTGATAAAGACCAAAAAATCCAGAATCTTGAAGCCTTACTTCAGAAGAGTAAAGAGAATATTTCCTTACTAGAAAAAGAAAGAGAAGATCTTTATGCAAAAATTCAGGCTGGTGAAGGAGAGACTGCTGTTCTTAACCAGTTGCAAGAGAAAAACCATACATTACAGGAACAAGTAAGCTTATAAATGTATTAAATTTCTAAAATTAACTTTTATTTAAATCTGACTAGATGTTTTATTTAAATAAATCTTCCTTCTGGCTGTTTTTAGTACTTTTTAAGTTAAATATATATCAGAGTTATTAAAAGAAGTTTTTTTTTGTGGTGAAAAAAACACATGAAACATAAAATTTTTCTTTTTAGCCACTTTTAAGTATAATCAGTAGCATTAATTATATTCACAATGTCATGCAATCATCACCACTATTCATTTCCAAAAATTTTCATCACCCTAAACAAAAACTCTGTACATATTTTTAAAATATTTTATGTTTTTGATGATCATCATCTCATTTAAGGAAATCTGCAGTTCATATCTCAGGATATAACATATAACCTGTGTGACCAGGGATAAATTATTCTACCTCATTTGATCAGAATAGAAATTATTAATATGTGAACTTACTATTTATAGTTAATAAAATACAGGAATAATAAAATTTATTTAGTGTAGTGCCTAAGGAATTTGACTGCTAACCAGAAGGCTGGTGGTTCAAACCCACCAGCCACTCCTTGGAAGGAAGGTTGGGCAATCTACTTCCATGTGATCCTGCCTGGGAAACCCAAAGAGGGATCACTATGAGTTGGGTCCGACTCGATGGCACAAAACAACAACAACAACAAAGTCAAATATTAGTTGTTACTGTGTATTGATTAATATATAGACTTCATGGTTACTTATATTTTGGACAATATGTAACTAATAATAATTTTAATAAGTTGGCCTATTGTTCCAACATTCATATATAGTTTAAGAAAACTTAAAACATTTAGATGAATACATTTTCAAACTGAAAAGAATTAACAGTTGCTTTTTTGGGAGAATTGTCCAATTAGAAAATTATAATTACCTTAATGAGAAAGTTTTAAAATAATACTAATTTTGCATGCATTTAGGGTTAGAATGTACCCAAACATTTCCCCAAATTCCAAAGTTAACCTTGGTTAACCGTTTTTATGAAGAATTCTTTAGGCTGGCTTTTATTTGAAGTAGCATACAACTTGGCATTGCTCATGACAATAATCAGGAAAGAATCAGGAAACATATGCATGTCTTATTTTTGTTAAAAGAATAAATAATGTATTTCTGCTTCTGACCATGTACCTGTAATTGGTAATTGATACCTGTTTAGCCCTGTCATAAAAAACAACTAGAGAAGTGAAAAAATTTTACAAAACCACTGTTTTTAGAGATTGGGCAGCATGTAGTGCAGGAGAAGAGAGAGAAGTAAGGGGAACCTTTTCACCATCCTAACATGTCACATGGAGACATTTTCTAGACTTTTGTGTGTAGATGGTGTACAGTGATAGTGTAGGCTGGGGAAGCCAAGCAAAACACAATGATCGCATCTAATTGAGGAGTGAGAGATCAAAAGTCAGGGAGGCATCTTGACTTTTCAAGGCAGAATACCAAAGAGGAGGGAACAATGCAAAGAGAAAGCTCTAGAAACCTATTGAATAGGGATCGATGTGAACCATTAGCTGGGTAAGTGTTGTGTTTTTAAGGTGGAATTCCACACGTGCTGATAGTGAATAATTAATTAGAGGGGAGCTGTAGGCTGAAAAAAATTTTTGAGATCACACTGGATTGGGAGATACTCAAGTTCCAGTCAGTCAGAGTGGAGAAAACCTGGTTGATCATTTGGAGCATTCAGTGGAGACCTCAGAAATGTCATGTCTTAAGAGTAAAACAGAACTGGCCCTAGAGGAAAAATTACTATATACCTGACCTAATAAAGCTTAAAAACAAGCTTCAAAGCATATATTAACTTCCTGCTGGAACAAAACTGATCATTCTTTAAAAGAAGACAATAAAATCCAGACCCATTACAATAAACAACAAAATTTACTAGACACGTGAAGAAGCAGAAAAAATGTGAGCCAAAACTAGGAGTGAAATTATTCAGTAGAAACATCTTGAAATGAGAGATGATAGAATCATCAGACAACTACTTTAAAATGGTTCTTATTAATATACTCAGAAATATAAAGAAAAAAATACATAAATAATGAAAGAAATGGAAATTAGAGAGAGGAATCAAATGGAACTTCTAGATATAAAAAATAAATGTACCTGAAAAGAAAATTTCATTGGATAGGCTTAATAGTAGATTGGGAGCTCTGGTGGTGTAGTGCCTAAGGCAGTTGACTGATAACCAGAAGGCTGGTGATTCAAACCCACCAGCCACTCCTTGGACAGAAGATTGGACAATCTATTTCCATAGTGATACCACCTTGGAAACCCAATGAGCGGTCTCTATGACTCAGATTGACTCAACAACAGTGATTTTTTTTTTTTTTTTTGGTAATAACAGATTAACCCAGACCCACTGCTGTCAAGTTAGATCTGACTCATAGCCACCCCTCCTTGGGTTTCTGAGGCAGTATCACTATGGAAGTAGATGCCCAATCTTCCTTTTGAGGAGTGGCTGGTGGTTTTGAACAGCCAGCCTTCTGGTTAGCAGTCAAATGCCTTAAGGATTATGCTATCAGAGCTCCTAATAGCAGATTAGGCAAGTTAAAAAAAAAAAAAAAATCAGTGAGTGTGATTAACAAGGCAATTGAAACTGTCTAAAAAGAAGCACAGAGAGAAGAAAGCTGAAAAAAGAAAATGATCTGTGCTTCACTGGCCATGGGACAATATCGTGTAGACTAGGGTACATAACTAGCGTCACATAAGAGGGGAGGAAGAACATATCTGTGAAAATAATAGCTGAAAAATGATAAAATTTGATAAAAAACATATACAACACATGCAGAAAAATGAAATAGAATCCATACCTCACACCACATACCAAAAGAAATTTAAAATGCAAACTGAAATTATAAAATTCTTAAAATGCAGGGGCAAAGCTGTCAGGCATAGCTTTTACAATGGATTACCTAATATAATAAAAGCATGTAGCAAAAGATAAAATAAATAAATCCAACCTCATAAACATTAAAAACTTTTTTTCATTAAAATACTTTATCAGAAAAGTGAAAAGACAACCTACCAATGAGGAGAATGTCTTTGAAAACCATATATCTGATAAGCATCTAATAACCAGTATATATATATATATATATATATAAAATTTCAACATCTTAAGAACAAAAGGTCAAATAACCAGTTCATAAAATGGGCAAAGGACTTAAACAGACATTTAACCAAAGAGGACATTCCAATGACCACTAAACACATGAAAAGATACTCAGAGTCATTAGCCATCAGGGACAGGCAAATCAAAACCATAATGAGATACCATTTCACCCCCAGTAGGATGGCTGGCTACTAGTAGGGGAGCTCTGGTAGCATAGTGGCTAAGGCACTTGACTGCTAACCAGAAGGCTGGTGGTTCAAACCCACCAGCCACTCCTCGGAAGGAAGGTTGGGCAATCTACTTCCATAGTGATACTGCCTGGGAAACCCAAGGAGGGGTCGCTATGAGTCGGGTCTGACTCCATGGCACATAACAACAACAACAACAGGATGGCTAAGATTAAAAAAAAATAATAATAACAAAAAGTGTTGGTAAGAAAGTGAGATAATTGGAACCTTTATCTATTGCTGGTGGGAATGAGCAAGGTACAGCCATTGTGGAAAACTGGTGGTTCCTGAAAAAACTAAAAGTAGAACTACCATATGACCCAGCTATTTGACTTAGGTACATATCCAAAAAATTTGAAAGCAGAGACTTAAATAGAGACTTCAATCCCACCAGCCACTCCTCGGAAGGACGGTTAGACAATCTACTTCTGTAGTGATAACTGCCTTGGAAACTCAAGGAGGAGTCGCTATGAGTCAGATCCGACTCAATGGCAGTGTGTTTGTACACCAGTAGTATTCATTGTAACACTATTAACGATAATATAAAGGTGAAAGCAACCTAATACCCATCAACAGATGAATGGATAAGCAAAATGTGGCACAGACATACAGTGGGCTACTATTCAGTCAATAGAAGAAATGAAGTCTTGATACATGGTAGAATATGGATGGAGCTGGAAGAGACATTATGCTGAGTGAAGTTAGTCAAATCATGTAAGGACAAATATTGTATGGCCTCAGACAAAGAAAGGAAAATATATAGAGACCACAGTCTGTTAGTAGTTGCCAGGGGCAGAGAAGGGGAAAGGTGGAAGTTAACGGTGATGCAAACATCACATTGACTAAGGTGGGATTGCGCAGCCAATTATTGCCAATTACTGTCAATTGCAATACACTTGTACACCTGTAAAAAGATGAACTGGCAAAAGTTGTGTGATAGACATATTTACAAAAATGCCAAGGGGGGACAAAAGTAGCTGCTGAGATTGCATATAGATATAAGCAAAAACCTCATAGGATTTGTTTCCTTGGTTTGGAGGCTTAGGGTCATGGTTTCATAGGACATCCCAGTTAATTGGCCTGCCATATTTGGTGCTTCTAGTCTATTAGTTCTATTCTGTTCTACTTCATTGTGTAGTTCCTGTGGTGTTAAAAGCTTGTAAGTGCTCTTCGCAGGCCTGACAGTTGATCTGTCTTCACCTGGGCAACAGAAGGGGAAGGAGAGTCAGAAATAGGAGGAGGACACAGAATATGTAATTAATTGCCTTCATGAACAACTGCTTCCTTTGCCATAGACTAGAAGAACTGGATGGTGCCTGGCTAGTGTTTCTGAAGATTTTAATCAAAGAATCTATAGAAGAATCCTGATGCAAAGGGGGAAAACGAAGGACAGAAGTTCAATTTCTCATGAACTCTAAAGTTTCTAGAGCCGTGGAGGCTAGATGAACCCATGGAACTCTTAACCTGAGATAATCTTTAAACCTTAAACCAAAACTATCCCTTGATGTTTTCTTAAAACCAAATAATAATTTAGCTTAATGAGTAAAAACTGTCTGCCTTGAGCATTTTGCTCTTTCCATGGAATCAAAGTGACAACAGCAACTTGAAAGATTAGATAAGAACCTTTGGGGGCAGTGGACTTATGTCAGTGGGGGAGGAACAACTCAGAAAAAAGAGGATAAGAATAATTGCAATGTAACCTTTTTCACTGAATTGGACATGTAGTGCTGGTTGAATTTATGTATGTTTTGCTGTGTGTTTTCAACATAACTAAATAAAATTAAACAACAAAAATAAATAAATAAATAACTCCACAGATTCAAGAAGCTGAATTCCAAAGGAGATATGCTATAGAAAACCACACCAAAACACATTATAATAAAAATGCAAAAAAATCAGTAATAAATAGAAAAATCTTACAAGCAATCTAAGGAAAAAACTTATATAAAAAGTAAAATGGTCTTTGTTCAATGGATGACAAGATTGTTTACATACCTAAGGATTCTACAGGAAAAATTCTTCAGAATTAATTTAGATTTAGGAATGTTGTAGGATAAAAAGTCAGTATATAGAAAGTATATTTATATATATTAGGAAGCAATTAGAAAATGAAATTAAAAATAGCATTTACAATGGTATCAGACAGTGTAACATACTTAGGAATTAATTTAATGCAAGATGTAGAAAACCTTTATACCAAATGCTGATAAATAATAGTGCTGAGAAAAAGCATTCTAAATAAACATATCATGTTCATGGATTGGAAGACTCAATATTGTTCAAGTGGCATTTGTCTCCAAAATTCTAGTAGGCTTTTGTGTAGAAATTGAAAATCTGGTTTTCAAAATTATAACACAAAATATCTGGAATAGCCAAATATGTTTTAAAAAAGAATAGTATTGGAGTACTTCTGTTACCTTTTTAAGGACTTTTTGTAAAGTTACAGTCATCAAGGCCAGGATATGGTCTTGTGTATGGATAGATGTTAGATCTCTGGAACAGAATAAAAACACTCATATAGTCAATTGACTTTTTGACAAAGATACCAAGGTAACTTAATCATGAAAGATAGTTTTTTAAAGAAATATTGTTAGAACAGCTGAATATCTATATGGAAATAAGTGAACTTTGACTCCCCCCCTCAAACAATACACAAAAACATTAACTCAAAAGGGATCATAAATCTAAACATAAAAATTAAAACTCTAAAGCTTAACAACTACAACAAAACATGAGCAAATCTTTGTGGCCTTAGGATAGACAGATTTCTGAGGTGGGACACGAAAAAGCCTAATTATAAAGGAAAGCCAAGATGACGACTTGCATCTAAATTGAAACTGTAGGCTCTTCAAAAGATACTGTTTTAAAATAAAAGGCAAGACACAAATTTGAGAAAATACTTGCATTACATATATTTGAAAATCCAAAAATACATGGAATATATAAGGAACTCTTATTATTCGGTCATATCACAGTTGTCTTTGGTTGCAGATGGGTGAGAGATGCTGACTGCAAAGGGGCTTGAGGAAACTTCAAAGTACTGGAAATGTTCTATATTTTTATTCTGTTGGTAGTTAAATGTGTATATATACTTATCAAATCTCTTCAAATTGTGCTGTTAAATTGGGTGCATTTTATTTCATGAAATAATAGCTCAGTAAAGTTTATTTTAATAATAATAAAATCTTTGAGTTTCAAGTTATTTCTTATGATTTTGAGATACTCTGCTTACTGATTTTGGAGAAGATATGATCAATTGTATTTGAAAATTTCTGAACTTTGCTATCTTAGAGCAGTTTAATATACTCATGGTACTTATATTTGGGCTTTTTAGTTCATGTTATGTCATTTGTGAACTTCCTCATTAGTGTCTTGTTTGTATGATAGGTAACTCAGCTAACAGAAAAGCTGAAGAATCAGTCAGAAAGCCACAAACAAGCCCAGGAAAATTTGCATGACCAGGTGCAGGAGCAGAAGACCCATCTTAGAGCTGCGCAAGACCGTGTCCTTTCCCTCGAAACCAGTGTCAATGAATTAAATAGTCAACTCAATGAAAGTAAGGAGAAGGTCTCCCAGCTTGACATACAGGTAATATTGAATTATGGTTTTTAATATGAGTTTATATAAATAAAGCATCATTTTTTTTTGGTTGCCTTACCACTTAATATTAACATACTGACCATGAGAATTAGGTAAATGTAGTATCTAGACAGTTTATTGGGCTTTCCTTTTTGCCTCTTTTCAAATCATCAAATCTGCCTTAGTCTTCCTTATTGATTGTCTAGCATTCACATGTATATGAGCTGATTGAAAATTCTACTGAGTGGATTGTTGTTGTTGTTGTTGTTATGTGCTGTGGAGTCGCCCCAACTCATAGCGATCCCTCCTTGGGTTGCCAAGGCAGTATCACTATAGAAGTAGATTGCCCAACCTTCCTTCCGAGGAGTGGCTGGTGGGTTTGAACCGCCAGCATTCTGGTTAGCAGTTAACTGCCTTAGGCACTATGCTACTAGAGCTCCTTAGTCCTCAAAGTGACATCTTTGTTTTTGATACTTTAAAGAGATTCTTTTGCACGAGATTTACTCAGTGCAATACTTTGTTTGATTTGTTGACTTTTGCTTCCATGGGCATTGATACTTGGATCCAAGTAAAATGAAATCCCTGACAATTTGAATATTTTCTCTGTTTATCATTATATTGTTTGTTGTCCAGTTGTGACGACTTTTGTTTTCTTTCTGAGGTGAAATCCATACTGAAGGCTGTCTGTGATCTTCATTAGTAAGTGCCTTAAGTCTTCTTCACCTTCATCAAGCAAGGTTGTGTCATCTGCATATCCTCATCTGGAGGTTGTTAATGAGTCTTCCTCCAGTCCTGATGCTGCATTCTTCTTCATATAGTTCAGGTTCTCAATTATTTGCTCAGCATACAGAATTAATAAGTATGGTGAAAGGTTACAGCCCTTGACACGTACCTTTTCTGGTTTTAAATCACACAGCATCCCTTTGTTCTATTGGAACGACTGCCTCTTGCTCTATGTACAGGTTCCAGATGAGTACAAATGTTCTGAAATTCCCACTCTTCGGAGTGTTACCTGTAATTTGTTATGATCCACAGAGTTGAATGCCTTTGCGTAGTCAATGAAACATAGTCAAAGATCTCTCTGTTATTTTCAGCCAATCTGACTTTCAATTCTGCTTTTAGCCATCTGACATCAGGAATGTTATCCCTCCTTCTACGTTTTGTTCTAAATCTGGCTTCAATTTCTGGTAATTCCCTGTCAATATATTGCTGCAGCCTGTTGTTTTGAATTATCTTCAGCAAAATTTTACTTGTGTGTGATATTAATGATATTTAATAATTTCCACATTCCATTGGATTATTTTTCTTTGAAATAGGAATAAATATGAATCTTCTCCAGTCATTTGGCCAGGTAGCTGTCTTCCACATTTCTTGGCATAGATGAGTGAGCACTTCCCGTGTTGTATCTCTTTATTGAAACATTTCAGGTGATATTACATCAATTCCTAGAGCCTTATTTTTCACCAATGCCTTCAGTACAGCTTAGACTTCTTCCTTCAGTACCATTAGCTCTTGATTATATGCTGCCTCCTGAAATGGTTGAGCATCAACTAATTCTTTTGGTACAGTGACTGTATTCCTTCTATCTTCCCTTGATACTTCCTTGTCGTTCAATATCTTGCTCATAAAATCATCTTGATTATTTGAAGTCATCATTAGTACAGCTATTTATCGTAACAGTAGGCAAACTTAAGATGTCTACTTCTGAAAAATGCAGTGGTATTTTTTATTAAAAAGGTGTACCTTCTTTTCTTACCAAAAGGGTAATCCAATGTTTCCATGCCATATAGGAACATCTTTTCATCATTTACCCAAAAATGATGAGGAGTCTTCTCCCGTATGCATTCTTGTTTTGGGAATTTTCACATACATGTTTTTCATTGTCTAAATCTTTATGTTTTTGCCAAAGAACTTAATCTTTTAATAATTGAATAATAAAAACATTGTGTGTTCAGGTAAAAGGAAATCAAGAACTAAATATTATTTAAATAACTTGTCTATTTTGTTACAGATTAAAGCCAAAACTGAATTATTGCTATCAGCAGAAGCAGCAAAAACTGCTCAAAGAGCAGATCTTCAGAATCATTTGGATACAGCCCAAAATGCATTACAAGATAAACAGCAGGTAGGGAGACCTGACAGAATTCCATACCATAACCTAGTGCTTCAGTAGATAAATTAATTGCAAATGTGTAAACCTGATACCCAGTTTTATGGAATCTTATGGTAGACTTGCTTATGTTCCTTAATTCCTTACTTAGTACAGAACTAATTGAGTAACTGCTAGAATATTTTCTTTTAGAGGGATCAGCACAAGGATGGTTCCTATGAGGAAGAGATGTCCCAAATGTCTAACTTTTCCAAACTGCTGTACCATTCCATCATCTCTAGTATCAACTCCTCCTCCTCCCCGCCGTACTCTCCTTCCCATCATAGGTTTCCATATTTTGCTATAATGTTTCACAGAACTTGAAAACTGTTAAGGAAATGGCTCACATGGTGGTGGAGGCTGTCAAGTGCCAAATCATTGGGTCATGTGTTAGTCTGGACCATTCACTTCGCTCACGTCATTGCAGGGGATGACAAACCCAAATTGCTGTCTCCAGTCCCAAGAACCATGGGTGAGATGTTGATGAACCAGGTGCAGGATACAGAGCAAGGGAGCAAACATTGTGAGAACATTCACATATATACCCTAAGGGTGGTGCCTTGAGTCACACCTTCTGGCAAGTGGAACTCAAGATGCATCACACCCTAATCCTGCTTCATCAATACAACAGACAGCTCACCTCAAATGGGACCATAACCATAGTCATAGAGGCTAGCATTTACAATATATCACAAAATGGAGGACCATGGCTAGAAGAGCCACATTAAGGAATACACTGTACTGCAGTGACGGATGCAAGAATTGAATAGATGTTAATTAATAATATCAGTTTCAACCGGTGTGTGTTAACTTAAAAAAGCAACTGTGTTTGGGCTTCCTAATATTGTATTTCTTCCCTAGCCTAGACCTTGATGTGGAAAACATTTACTCCTAATTGTTGCCTCATCCCATCACTTGCCAGTGATTGTGAAAGAGAGAGAGACCTCCACACCTGTTTTTAGTAGGTAGGCTGGGCCATGACCCAGATATGTGTACATATGGAAGTAGGAAAAAGAGCACTATGTACTCCATCCCAAATATAAGAGTTACTCTCCTTTCTTCAGAGGTAGGAGTAAATAAGGGGCTGATGAAATATAGACATTTCCTCAACGTTCTGATAGAATAAAAGCTTCAAGTTTTATGGACAAGGTCAAAATGTTGGGAAATTTTTTTTACCTTTTACCAGGTAGAAATTTTAAAAAATGTATTTATTATGTAAGAATTGATAGTAGTTATTTACTTAATTTTTTGTAGCAATCCAGAAGTATATCAAGTTAATAAAAGAAAACTATATTAATTTATGACTTGAAAAGCTAGAAATACATTTTTAGAGAGCTGATACTACTATTAAATAAAGTAACATTTTTAAGTAGTCTGTGACACAGATGAGTCTGACAGACATGTACAAATCTTGCTTTTCTACTTCTGTTTACTTAAACTTGAGAATTTGAAACACATAGAAACTAGAATATTTTTAGAAGTGGATGAATGAACATCAGAGAATCATTAGATTAGTTGTCACTGAACTCTTGTTTTTACACACTTCATGTTTGGATGCAAACCATAAAGATAGTGTCACAAATTTGCAGTATATATGAGCACTAAATGGTGTATTTGACTTAACTTTCTATGAAATGTATAAAATATAGCAGTGTAATAAACTATTGATCTAAAAAAAGGAAAAAAAAATATTTTCTATGCTTATCTTTAGCCCCAATTCTAATTTCCTTGTGTTCACGTGGAGTCACAATATATATGTTGCTAAATACATCTGTAAAGTATTTTCTAAGTATGAGATCAGAGTCAGAAACCTTAAAAAGAAATTATAATAAAACCGAATCAATGTTTAAAATTTAAACAAAATTAACATTAAAACATTAACAAAATTCTGACACATAGCAAAAGGATAAAATATTTTCTGAAGTATGTCTGATGAAGGGTTAATTTCCTTGATATTTTTTAAAAAGTAACCTTACAAGAAATGCAAATGATCAAAACTATATTAGGAAATGTTCAAGTTGATTAAGATGAATTGCAAATTAAAACAATAATGGGATACATTTTCCTTGGACAGTTTAGAGAGGGTTGGAGAGCATGTGGAGGAATAAATTACTTCTATACATTGCTAGTGGTAGTTTAAATTAGTTCAGCCTTTTGATGGAAAGACTATTTGGCAATGTATCTCTAAAACCTTAGAATTTTTTATATTCTTCATCCCATTCTCTGTCTTCTATCATAAAGGACTATTCATAGCTTTAAGAATGTTACTTATACTTCTGCTAATAAGTACATAAAATTTAGTAGCAATCTATGCCTGTAAAATAGGAGATTTGGCTTAAAAAAATGAACTATAGCCATGGAATAGAATTTTATGCAATCAAGTATAACGATGATATAAAATACTGCTGCCATTGGATTGTTTCCAACTCATAGCCACTGTATAGGACAGAGTAGAACTTCCCCATAGAGTTTTCAGGGCTATAAATGTTCACGGAAGCAGACTGCCTCATCTTTCTCTTGCAGCATGGCTGGTGGGTTCTAACCACTGACCTTTTTGTTAGCAGCCAAATGCTTTAACCTCTGTGCCCAGAGCGTCTGTACTGATACACAAAATGTCAAAGTTTCATGACACTTAAAAGTAATAGATACTACAATAAAACTATGTAAAGTGTGGTCCTGTTTTTATTTTAAAAGATCAAAGAAAAAAACATGTAAACTAACATGTAGAAGGAAAATTATCAAAACATTAACAGGGGTTATCTGGGTTGTAGATGTACTTGTTATGTGCCATCAAGTCAGACATGACTCATAGCGACTCCTCTTTGGGTTTCTGAGGCAGAGTCACTAAGGAAGTAGATTGCCCAACCTTCCTTCTGAGGAGTGGCTAGTGGGTTTGAACTGCCAGCCTTCTGGTTAGCAGTCAAGTGCCTTAGGCACTATGCTACCAGAGCTCCTAGTAGATATACTAGTAACTTATATTTTGTTATTTCTGTATACCTGGATATTCCAAATGAATTGAACAAGTGTCATAGATGACTGGAATATTGTTTGTAAATATTATTTTTAAAATGATGTCCTGAAAATTGAAAACATTATGATATAAAAGTGTTATTTTACTATTCATCTACTTAATAATTGTATATTTTGGCTCGTAAAATAACTTTTCTTAGAAAAGTATTGAAAATTATTAAGCTGTTTTGCATATAAACTATGCAAGGTTTCAGTTCAGGTCCTTTATTTTATGTTGTTGTTGTTGCGTGCTGTCTAGTCAATTCCAACTCATAGCGACCCTTATGACAGAGTAGAATATCCCCCATAGGGTTTCCTAGGCTGTAATGTTTATGAGAGAAGATCTCCAGGTTTTCCTGTGGAACAGCTGGTAAGTTTGAACCGCCAACCTTTTGGTTAGCAGCTGAGCATGTAACAAAGGGCTCATCTTTGTTTTATATGGACACATAAATATAGCCTCTATGATATCCTGTGACTTATCTGAGATCTTAACCCAAATAGTTTCTTAGGTAAAATTAGAATTTTCAATTTTATTTTGATTGAACATGTGGATACTACAATAAATTAAATCTTACCAAAATTTTTTCAATTGTACTTTTCTATAGGAGTTAAATAAGATCACTACACAATTGGATCAGGTAACTATAAGGTTGCAGGACAAGCAAGAACACTGCAATCAGCTGGAAAGCCAACTTAAAGAATATAAAGAGAAAAATCTTTCCTTAGAACAGAAAACTGAAGAGCTGGAAGGTCAAATTAAGGTTTGTATAAAATAAATTGAATGTAGCCAAATTTTCTACTGCTATACTAATGAAAACTGACGACCTAGATGGAATCAATGATTTTTAATTAAGAAAGAAAGGTTGCAATTGTATAAAATTTAATTACTTGTAATTTTTTATGTCTTATTTTTGAATTCCATTTTTACTTTTTATTTCTTCATTTATGGGTGGCTTTAACAAATCACAGCATATATATAGATTCCATTTTATTGTTTAACTATTTCAAAGAGATAGCCAGCCAGGGATCTACTCAATAATTGCAAAGAACTTATCATGTTAGTGTTACAAAGTGTCTTCTGTTTCTTCATTCTTCAATCTCCTTGTCTCCTTATAGTATAGGAGTATATTATTTTAGATATGGTATACCATTTATTTTCTAAACTTTACATTTATAACCTTTGGAGTTTATTTCTCATTAAATAATAAATTTAGGCTACCATAACATCTAATTTAACATGTTGTTGTTATGTGCCGTTGAGTCGGACCCGACTCGTGGCGACCCCTCCTTGGGTTTCCGAGGCAGTATCACTACGGAAGTAGATAGTGAAAGGAGCCTGAGGCATTTGACTGCTAATCAGAAGGCTAGCGGTTCAAATCTACCAGCCACTCCTTGGAAGGAAGGTTGGGCAATCCACTTCTGAAGTGATGCCGCTTCAGAAAGAGGGCTCGCTATGAGTTGGATTTGACTCAACAGCAGTGAGGTTTTTTTTTTTTTTTTTTTTTTTTAGAAGTGAAAGAGTTGATTTACTAAAGAGTTTAAATGTTGAGTAGACATATCAGAGAAGGATTTAACCACGAACCTTTAAATTGGAACTCTTATCATTTGAAAGTTTATTAACAAATAATGTGTTTGGTAGTAGAGAGAATAAAAATAATAAAGTTTAATTATCAACTTGAGTTAAACATTTCTCAAATTATAATTAAAAACATATATACATACATATATATATATATACATACATATAGTTTGCAAGTGCTCCTTCATTCTGGGAGGTATTTTGAAAATGCACTATGCTAATTATTTTTTACAATAATATGTGAAAAAATTAGCATAGCAGTGCTTATGAAAATATTAGACAGGAGGGAGCAGTTGACAAACAAGCATAAAAGGTGCATGTTATGTATGTGAAAAATAGAGGATATGTATTGTGTGTGTGTGTTAATAAGAAAGACCACATGACAACTCCATTCTCGTTTTGAATTTGTATAATTATATCAATGAGTTATTAAATATGACCATCAAGAATAATATATTTTAGGTGAGCATATATATATATATGAACCTGTTAATGAGTTTTGTACTTGAGTTAATAATTTTTGTTGACTATGAAAAAGCAATTGACTGTGTTGATCATGACAAATTATGAATAACATCATGCAGAATGGGAATTCCAGAACATTTAATTGTGCTCGTGAGGAACCTGTGTGTAGACTAATAGGCAGTCATTCAGAACAAGAGGATACTGCATGGTTTAAAATCAGGAAAGGTTTGAGTCTGGGTTGTATCCTTTCACCACACCTCTTGAATCTATATGTTGCGCAAATATCCTGGGAAGGTGGACTATATAAAGAAGAATGTGGCATCATGATTGGAGGAAGACTTACCAAAAACCTGTGATACGCAGATGACACAACCTCATTTGGTGAAAGCACTTACTGATGAAGGGCAAAGATTACAGCCTTCAATTTGAATTACACCTCAACATAAAGAAAATAAATGTCCTCACAACTGGACCAGTAAGCAACATCATGATGAATGGAGAAAAGAATGAAGTTGTTAAAGATTTCATTTTACTTGCATCCACAGTCAATGTCCATGGAAGCAGCAGTCAAGAAATTAAATGACGTATTGCATTGGGCAAATCTATTACAAAAGACCTCTTTAAATTATAAGAGAGCAAAAATATCCCTTTGAAACCTAAGATGTGCCTTACCCAAGCCATGGTATTTTCAATATGCTCATATGCATGTGAAAGCTAGACAATGAATAAGGAAGACTGAAGAGGAATTTGAATTGTGGTATTGGTGAAGAACATTGAATGTATCATGGACTGCTGAAGAATGAACAAATATGTCTTGGAGGAAGTATAGCCGTAATGCTCCTTGTTGTTGTTGTTATGTGCCATCGAGTCGGACCCAACTCATAGCCAACCCTCCTTAGGTTTCCGAGGCAGTATCACTACAGAAGTAGATTGCCCAGCCTTCCTTCTGAGGAATGGCTGGTCGGTTTGAACCGGCAGCCTTCTGGTTAGCAGTCAAGTGCCTTAGGCACTATGCTACCAGAGCTTCAGAAATGCTCCTTAGGAGGAAGAATTGCCAGACTTGTTCTCTCATACTTTGGTCATGTTGTCAGAATGAACCAATCCCTGAAGAAGGATACCATGTTTGATAAAGTAGAGGGTTAGCGAAAAAGGGGAAGATCCTTAATGAGATGGATTGACACAGTGGTTGAGATGATTGGCTCAAGCATGGGAACAATTGTGAGGCTGGCACAGAACCAGACAGTGTTTCATTGTCTTATACGTAGTGTCACTATGAGTCTGAATCAACTGAATAGCACCTAACTAGAACACTACTCATATTTATGCTTGTTTTGCATTTTCTTTTTATTTTAAATTTATTGTTATTCAGAGTTAACTTTTATAAAGTAAACATTCAGTGACTCTCTATACTGTATAAAATCTTAATTCTAAATCCTCAGATTATTGCAAGGTAAATAGCCCTGTTACTCAGTAATGGTTTCAGATTTTTTTTTTTTTATTATTGTAACAAATATTTTATGGCTATTTTTGTGTTATCAGCACTAATTTATATATAAATGAAAATACTATGGTGTTTAGTAATAGATAGATATTACTAACATTAAAAGGCTGCTATAATATATTTCTTCCATAGAAACTAGAAGCTGATACTGTTGAAGTTAAAGCAAGCAAGGAGCAAGCATTGCAGGATCTACAAGACCAAAGACAGCTGAGTACAGATTTAGAGCTCAAAGCCACAGAATTGACTAAACAGCTTGAAATAGAGAAAGAAATGTAAGCTAACCTATTTTGCTTATAATTTAAGAGGGAAGATTGTAAACTAAGTAGTAATTTCCTTAAGATTTTAATTTTGTATGACAGTACTTAGTGATTTATTAAATGTTTACATTGTCTATAAACTGCTGATGTTAATGTGAATTAAAAATAAAGCCATGATAATATAAAGTTAATGTCACTAGAAAGAACAGAAAAACTGTTTTTATAAGACTTGTGTCATCTACTCTCTTCAACATTAATGTCATACCTATATCATGTTATTTATGAATTAAAGACAGTTTTACTTCTCCTTTACAATCTGTAAGCTTTTATGTCTTTTTCTTGGCTTACTCAGGGCAGGCACCTCCAGTAAAATTTTAAATACAAATAGTAATAGAAGACATCTTGCATTATTCCCAGTGTTATTGGGGGGAACAGTAATCATTTCATCATTAAGTATGAGGTTAGCTTTAGGCTTTTCCTAAATTCCCTTTATGAGATTGTGAGATTAAGGACAGTCTCTTATACCTACTTTTTTTTTTAAAATCATGACTTGATAATGATTTTTATCAACCACTTTTTCTGTATCTGTTGATATGAGAAAATAGTTTTTCTTTATTCTGTTAATATGGTGAGTAACATTGGTCAATTTTCAAATATTAAACCAATCTTGTTTTCCTGGGATACATTCCCCTTGGTTCTGTTTTTTGTATTCTTTCCATATGTTGCTAGGTTTGATTAGCTAATACTTTAAGAATTTTCTTGCATTCATGAGAATTATTGGTCTGAGGTCTTAAAAATATCACTGTCAGGTTTTGGTATCAGGATGATGCTGGATTTATAAAGAAATTGAGAACTGTTTCCCACTTCTCTACTTTCCAAAGGGCTTTTATGAGATTTATATTATTTATTTATTAAATGTTTGATTGGTCTGTAATCTTTTTGAAATATCACTGTCAGGTTTTGGTATCAGAATTATGCTGGATTTAGAAAGAAATTGAGAACTGTTCCCTTCTTCTCTACTTTCTAAAGGGCTTTCATGGGATTTATGTTATTTATTTATTAAATGTTTGAACTCTCTGAGCATGGATTTCTCCCTCTGAGTTACATCTTAATTTTGAGTTCAATGTATTGAGTAGCTTTAGGGCTTTTCTGAATTTTCTACAGTTTTTTTTTTGTGTGTGTGTATATACACACACACACACATATGTATATATATATGTATACACACACATATATATGCGTGTGTGTAATACATATACATATACATATGTATATACACACACGTGTGTGTGTGTGTGTGTGTGTGTGT